GACTTGTAAAGCTTCTAGAACAGTGTCCAGCAGGTGGCAAGAACTTGATATAAGCAGTTATTGCTAGTATTACATGCTAATGGCCTCAGACCACAATGTAGTATATGTGATTTTACCCATGTAAATTTTTAAAAAATTTTTTTGCTGGGGCCATGTGCTCACACCATGGAGAGAGAGAGAATGCCCTCCCCAGCTTGGGGCCACCAGTCTTCCTTCTCCCATCTCTCTTTCCTGTCAGGATTGTAAGCACATGTACACATAAGTCTGGTGGATTTTTCAAGCTGCTGGAGCTGGGATTTGAACCTCAGTGGAGCATGTAAGATCCGGTCCCCTCTACACAGTACTTAACCACTGCACTACTGGTCTGACCGTTTTTGTGTATGTGGAGGGGGGAGCTTGGTTCATTTGTTGCAACAGGACACTATGAATTGTTTTTTGTTAGTCATATTTATTTGTATTTTCTTTACAGCTTAACATTGATGCCAAAAAAGAAATTAAAACCAAGCTCCCTGCAGGTTAATTTAGGTGATTGTTTTGGCACCTAGTTGTGCTTGAAGTTAGAATGTGATGTTTTTATATCATTCTTGGAATCAGTCCACAAACCCTATTAGATTTCATGATTTATTCTCATCTAACGTTTGATGCAACAGAGTTCACTTAAATCATGAAGTATAATTCTCCAGATTTGCAGAGCTTGGGGATGTCTACAACGAGGTCTGAATACAATGCTATTTTAAAATGATATTTTTCAGTGATCACTGAGGTATCTAAGGTCAAGATTAATTTGTCTTTCTGGAAATTTCATCTGTGTATTTATAGCCTAACATCTGACGTAGGGGAAAAAATTATAGCAGTGATTATGTAATTCTAAACTCTGAAAGAGTCTTTAGGGATCATCTGATTCAACTCCTTCATTGTATAGCTGACAAAATGAGGCCAGGAGAGTTAAGTGATTGGCTGACCCACAGGGCTGAGAACTAGCGGAAGGGTGAGGAGCAGTAGGTCTGGTCTCCCTGTCCTCCACCCTACCGTGTGCTGTTCCAGTGCCCACGCAGCGGAAGTAGGTGTAAGTCATGGATCTTCGTAGGTTGGTGTTGCTTTTCACTTTCTTCCCCTAGGTTCCAGCCTCTGTTTTTGGTAGTTCTATCAAGCTTAGCTCCAGAAGGCTTTCTAGGACTTTCTGTGGTAGCAAAATGACCTGTGGAGCATTTTAAAAATAAGTTCCATATGGAAATAGTTTTAACTATTTTTTATGAACATTTCCTTTTGCTAAATGGTAAATGACCAGCAGTCTCGTAGGAAATCGGACTAAAAGGATTTTGCTCTGTCTGGTTTTTTTTTTTTTTTTTTTTTTTTTTGAGAGGTTTTTTTGCTCTAGGGCGCGTGAGCTCGCCAGAAAGACAGAGAGAGACAGAGACAAAGCAAGAAATCGCTCCCCAGGGTGATGGCCACACCACAGTCCCTTCTCCTCCATTCTCCTCTCGGAATCTTGGGCACGCACGCACATGCACTTGGCGTGAGTTTAAGCCACCGAGTCCGGGACTTGAACCACGGTTGACTATATGGGAGTGCAGCGACATAGCCATTACACCAACTGTTGGTCCTGAGTCTTTCATTTTTTAAATGAGCAATGCTTAAGCCAAATTTCATTCTCACTAAAAGGGAAGAAATGATACCTTGGGGCCTGCAGATGACATCATGGTTACATTGCTGGACTCCCACACGGTCGACTGCAGTTTAAGTCCAGACCCAGCAGCTTAAAACTCACTCCAGGCACATGTGCGTGCGTGCCCAAGACCCTGAGAGGAAAAGGGATTGTGGTGTGGCCATCACCCCTGGGGGGTGATTTGCTAGCTTTCTGTCTCTTTGCCTCTCACTGTCTCTCCAGCGAGCACACGTGCCCTATAGGTAAACCTCTCTTAAAAACAAAACAAAACAAAAAGTAAAGAAAGAATACCTCTTGGTAGAGGAAGATGACAATTCATTAGTTTCCATTTTATGTGTAGTTTGGGTTAATTAGGGACCTTTAAAAATTGGGCGTATTGAAGCTTTAATGTATGCATAAGTTGGTTGAACAATTTTAATTAAAACTTACCTTTCTTTTGAAATTAATTAGTTTCAACACTCTGAGATTAATGAGGCCTAGTCATAGCACCTCCCATTTTGTGGCAACTCAGTAAATATTAGTTTGGAAATTGGGATATACTTTGATGGTATTTTAGAATCTCATGTACATTAGAGTGTATCACGGCTTCTTTCCCAAATATAAGCAATGCTCAACTATATCACAATTTGCTAGCCAAGAAGGCTGATGTCAGTGGCAAAGTTAAAAAGGGTGACCCTAAGGCTAAAAGGCCAAAGAAGGGACCCCATTGCAGCTGAAACCCGCCCTAGTCTGGGGCATCGGCAGATACTCCCCATCTGTCTTGTATTCAGGAAGGCCGTGCACAAGAAGAAACACTCGGCCACTGAATCCAGGGCTGAAAAGAAAAGGAGAAGGTTCTTGGGACTGTCACAAAACCAGTTGGTGGAGACAAGAATGGTGGTACCCGGGTGGTTAAGCTGTGCAAAATGCCTAGGTATTATCCTACTGAAGATGAGCCTCAAAAGCTGTTGAGCCACGGCAAAAAACCCTTCAGTCAGCATGTGAGAAAGCTGCGAGCCAGCACCACTCCTGGGGCCATTCTGAGCATCCTCACTGGACACCACAGAGGCAAGAGAGTGGTTTTCCTGAAGCAGCCGAGCAGTGGCTTGCTACTTGTGACTGGACTGCTGGTTCTCAGTCAAGTTCCACTGCATAAAGGACACCAGAAAGTCATCGCCTCCCCCACGAACATTGATATTAGCAAAGAAAAAATCCCAAAGCACCTTACCAGTGCTTCAAGAAAAAGAAACTGCGGAAGCCCAGACACCAGGAGGGTGAGATCTTTGACAGAGAGAGGGAAAAATACGAGATTTCAGAGTAGCGCAAGGTTGATCAGAAAGCTGTGGACTCGCAAATTTTTACCAAAAATCAACACTGTTCCTCAGCTCCAGGGCTACTTGTGATCCGTGTTTGCCCTTACAAATGGAGCTTATCCTCACAAATTGGTGTTCTAAATTTTTTGCCAAGAACCTGATTAAATAACTGAGCAGATTTTTTTTTAAAAAATAACCTTCACCTGAATTACCATAGTAAGCAATCCTAGTAGAAAGATGGGGATTTCTCTGTAGTTCTTTCCTAAAACTGAAGGAGTGTAGTCAGATACTGTATTCATAAATTGTCTAGATTCTTTCTTTTCTCTTCCCTTTCCTTCAGTGTAGTTCTGGTGTTCATTTGTACAACGTTAGGCACGTTTGGTTTAATTTGCTGTCAGTCATGTATTTCTTCCCATTCCCATTCTTACTGTTTAGTTTTGAATATACAGAATGTTAGCAAGCTCACAAAAATTAAAATTATTAAAAATTTTTATTTTAATTTGATTTCCTTCTTCCCTTTTCTGAAGTAAAAGATACATCATTAGCTAAATGATATTTATTATAACTATATTCGGGTTTATTGTTACTTAAAAAAAATGATGTGGTAATTAAGGCAGCTGGATCCTACTTGGCCGACCACAGTTCCAATCCCAGACCCAGTGGCTTGAAAATCATGCCATTCCCAAAATCCTGAGAGAAGAGTGGGGTAGAAGGGGTTGCTGCGTGGCCATCCCCTGTGGGGGTGCTTTCTTTATTTCCCTCCCTCTCTTTTTGTCTCTTGGTCTGTCCTAGCAAGCATGCACACCCTATAGCAAACTAAAAAAAAAAAAAATTCTATTGAGAATAAGATTGTGAAAGTACTTGATTTTGGGGTATATGTTCAGACCTAGTAATTTGTGATTTTGATTTGTGGAGCTAGTGCCTCTGAACTGTTTGCCATTCCAACATGCCAAAGAGTTAATGTCCATCGTCTTCAGGAACATTGACTCCATGTTGCAGCAGAGTAGCGGAGGTCGGAGCACAGGAGGGATGCACTCCAACCCATTTTGAGTTGAGAATTTTTGTTGTGGGGTTAATGAGAGTAGTAGAACATTCCAGATACGTCTGCAATACAAAAGACCCGTGACTAAGTAATACAACAAAATAATTAAGTGAGCAAACTCTAAATTTTAGTTCCAGATTAATGTGAGTGAGAATGAATACCACCTTCATGCTTTGGTTTGTTGCTTCCAACACATCTTCCTTTATCTGTGACCCAGACAACTGCCTGTGTGGGAACTCTAGTTTAATGATATTCTCGGTAGCATATCTGAAAAGTAACACAACTAAATGATTTATGTCCGTCTTGTAGTCACCATTTCTACTAACGTGTATGTTGGGTTTATAAATCTTTAATCTGGGGTAAAGCTCTGGCACCCAGCTATAACTTAGCCAGCTGAAAGAGCTAAAAGTATCTTGTCGGGAAGTGTCATAATAGACCCGAGTCTTTTCTCTTTTCCACAGCTTTAATACAGATACTGGCCGCTGCTGCAGCTGAACGAGATGTGGTTTATTTCACCTTCGGGGACTCAGAATTGATGAGAGACGTTTACAGCATGCACACTTTCCTTACTGAAAGGAAACTGACTGTTGGTAAGTAGGGGCTAGTCTTGACACTTGGTATCTAGATGGATTACATGCCATCCAGGAGGAACACTTGCCATGTCTGGATGGATCACAGTGGGTAAGAAACAAAAGCATGACTGAGAGGAGAGGACAAAGCTCTTAGACAGGCAGCGTTGGCATGGCCCCTCTTGTTTTTCCTGGCAACGTTCCATCCACAGTCTTGAATGATTATGTCAGCTTATCAAAGTCAGGCCAAGAAGCTAGAGTTAGTGTACATCATTCCTTTTATGTGCGTAGAAAACAAAAAAAGGGGGAGCCTTCTAAGGCTTCTTCAAACCCAGGAGACTGCACTGTGTCTATTTATCTGACATCCCCATGTGCTCACCCACAGTGTTTGCTACTTCAGGAGCTGAATGTAAAGCTGGAATTACTGCAAGATCCCAATGATGGCTGCATAGACAGTGTGCCACGTATAGCTGTTATAGTCATGAACCAATAGGGAGTTTCTTTAGTGTTTTTAAATTCTCCAAGTTAAGTCAGGAAAGTCTTCCAAGCATACAAAATTCATGCAGTATTTCCAAAAGCCGAATCTGAGCATGTGCTAGTTAGATTACGATAAAACTTGAATATTCTTTCAAAGGTTTATCTGCACGCCTCAGTGTTTGAATTGTTCTGGCCTTTCACTGTGCAGGAGAAGTGTATAAGCTGTTACTCCGATACTACAATGAAGAATGCAGAAACTGTTCCACCCCCGGACCAGACATCAAGCTTTATCCATTCATATACCACACTGTGGAGTCCTGTGCAGAAACCACCGACCAGCCAGGGCAAAGGACAGGGACCTGAGGAGCCAGTGAATAGGACCTCCCACCTCTCACCAGAGACGTCTGTGTGAATTATCAGGTGTAATATATGTTTGACCTAAGTTAATATAAACATGTATGTAATCTACATTTGCAGTCAATGATGCAATCTCTTACACATATGCAATTGTCGATTTATACATCTAAACCTCCTCCATCCCGATTCCCCTTGGTCTAGATATGTTTTGTTTCCATTTTCTTCTACTTCAGTCTTCATTCTTTGATTTTTCTCTTTTGCCCATCATATTTCTTGTGAGATCCCATAAAAGGTTGTACTCAGCCTGTCGGGTCTCTTTTTTCAGGCCTTTAGGTTACACAGGTCAGCTCTGCAGCTCGCAGGTGCCACTGATGCCGGGGAAGAAGGTGGCACCCAGGGATCTCTGTTACTGGGTTTGCTAACAATCTCCCTTCCACTCCTTATTCGTGTTATACTTGTATCATTTGAGCTTTGGAATTTTCAAAATTAAGAATTGGATTTTTTTCTATACATGTTGCCTAATGCAAATCTCTTAGGTTAAAACAATTTTTACTTAAGACAATAACTCCCAGAATTGTTGTGTTGAGATTTCACCTTTTTCTGTGCTGGATTGGCTATCCTTTTGTCCTTGATCGACTTTTATTGACACTGCTCTTGAAAACTGATCAAGATGAAGGGAAACATTGAGTCAAAGGGAGTTTCCATATGACATTAAAAGACAGATTTGAGAGACTCGAAGGGCTTTTTTTATTTCTTGAGTTTTGGGTTTTTTTTTTTTTTTTTTTAAAATAAGGGTTAATATTTGTTCTGTGGTGCTTGAGGCCTATTCATATAACCAAAGTTTGGGACTGGGAACTTCATGCTGATTTGTAAATAGTGAAGTTTCTCTGGTATTCAAAGGTTATATAGTTAATAAATTTTCATGAATAAATCATTTGTCAGAAACCCCCATATCTATTTTTTATTATATATATATATATATACATACATATATAAACATATGCTCTTTAAGTATGTCTATATGCGAGCACATTTAATCAAAGTAAAACTGGAGTGGTAGGAACTGATTAGGTTTAGGCTTTATCAGGGCTCTGTTTAAGATCCTTTATTCACAATTGTATCCATATAAAACTGGCAACAAACAAATAATAATGACTGTTTAGAGACTGAAATAAAAACCAAAGCCAATCCTATGTTTAGAGTAGAGTTTAATTACAAAAGCACTTATTCAGATTTCCAGAATAATCCCAACCCGTGAGGTTGAAGTTTATAGTCAGCTGCCAAGTAATGCTAATGGAGGTCAGACCCTATTACCAAGGGGCACTCCCATCTCAGTGCTGGCAGGAAGAAACAGGCCCTTAACAGTGTCTCCAACTCTACACAGAGATCGAGAGGGTAACGGGATTCGGCACCTGAAGGCAGCCACTTGTCATTTGACTATATTCTTAACATAGAAACTAAGTTTTTTATTTTTAATCATTTTGCAGATTAGGAGCCTGGGTTTATTTCCGCTGGTACTAATAAAATCTTCTCTTTCCTCCCCAGCTCACTCTGTCCTCTGGTTAAGCATTCGGTCACAGTTCATTTCCTCCTATTTTTCATTTGCACATTGTCCCTCTGACCCAGTCCCAAGAGTAAGTGAACAGTTAAAATGTTTCATGGACAGTATAGCTTGGCTCTGGTGACCAAGAAATCATTAGGTCCAGATAAGAAGACCACCCAGCTGGTATTTAGGAGCCCCCTCCCTGACTGCCCGTCTGGCTTTGAGTGGTTCCAAGGATACAATCTACTTCTTTGTCCCATTATGTCCTGGCATTGGGACAGCTCAGTCAGGTGGAGCATGCAGAGAACTAACACTGTTTTTTAGGAGGGAGAATAGTGGTGAAAAGATGATGACTGTGTCCTTGTAGGCGCTCTGCAAAAAAAGAAAAAGAAAGCAAGCAAGAAGAGAAGGAAGGAAACCTCTAATTAGCATTGGTATCTCTTCTGAAGTCTTGAACAGCACCTTTTCGTTCTTTTATCTAGAGTTTATTGATTTATTTCATATTCTTTACTTGTTCCTTCTTTTATCTACCAAAGCATGAAAGAATATTTTTAGTTTTGAATTCTTGTGTTTTAATGAAGCTTTCGCTTTCTGGCTTTCTCAAATGTACAGTAACAGTGTGAGGAAGCAGTGCGCAGTAAGGGCGTGAGGGCTCAACTCAGGCAGGCTGGGTTCAAATCACTCTTAGCTGACATTTTATCCTAACCTAAGTAAACTGAACTTCTGAGCCTTAGTTAACTCAGTTAGAAGGTGGGAAATAAAACAGAAAGTGTAGGCTCTGGCACCTCATTTGTGCTCAGTAAATGCCAGCTATTGTAGTTGACCAGGGAACATTTCGGGAGCACCTACTGTGTGTTAGATACTTTACTGGTTGCATTTGATCTTAGCCAAAAGGTTAAGAGGCATGTTTTTACTAGTTGCTTTACATATTTTAGCCCATTTTTCCAGTGAGCTCAGAGGTTAGGGATTATAATGCCATTCTGACCTCCAGGAATTTATTGCAAAAGGGACCTACAGTGTCCCCACTGTAGGGAACCTGAGAGAGCAAAGGCCCTGACACCCTACCAAGTCCCTGTATAGTTTGTTTTTCATCATGAGCGACTAGTTATCAGTGGGGTACATCCAACCATTTCTGAGAATTATCTGTGTTCTTGTTGGTTAAAGTGACATTTGGCAGACATACCCAAGCCAGTATTTTCAAGGAAGGTTGATAAGAATGTCACGAGGGCCAGCAGGTGGCATTGCGGTTAAGGTGCTGGACTCCCATGGCCAACCATGGTTTGAGTCCCAGATCCAGTGGCTTAAATCAAGCTGGGTGCATATGTGTGTGCATCCAAGATCCTGAGAGGAAAGCGGAAGAGAAGGGACTGCAGCATGGCTATCCCCCGGGTATGTGAGGGGGGTGATTTCTCACTTTCTCTCTGTCCCTCTCTCTCTGGCTCTGGTGATCATGTGCCCTATGGCAAAAAGCTGGGGAAAAAAAATGTAACCAAACCTCACAAGTGCTCTGCCAGTTACAGTCATGCACTGCAGAATGAGGTTTCAGTGAGCAGACCACATGTGTGATGGTGGTTCCATAAGGTGGTACTAGGCCCTACCACATAGCCTAGGTGTGTAGTCAGCCGTGCCATGTAGGTTTAAGGAAGCATACTCTGTGCTGTCTGCACAACTCGGTCACCTGACGATGCATTTCTCAGAACGCACCCTGGTAGGTAGGTGACCCGGGCTGTACTGTCCAGTACGTCCCGCTGTGGAAACCAAACACTGAGCTTCCCCACTCAAAGAACATGTTGAAGTGAAGAAGTTAGTTGAGTTGTATTAAAGACCTGAATCCAGTGTATCTGCTCTACAAATAAGTAAAGATTTAGGGAGGCTGTACTTCCTTCTCTCAAGCCTGTAGGTACTGACCTAACCCATCATCTGGAGAGAATGACAGTCCTGCCATTGCTGGGACATGAGCTTAGAATATTAGCCCTGTCTGTTTTGAGGAAGGGGAGTCCAGTATGATACTTAGTATTAATAGATCAAATTACCGACATCCACTGAGCCACGTTATCTGTCCCAGGAACAGGGTCCCCATGGGCCCTGCTCACCAGAAGCCATGTGGATCTACCTTCAGATAGAAGTTTTCCCAAACAAGACAACCAAAACTGTATATTCATCTGATAGCTGATTTTATTTCTCTTGTTTATTTTCAATGTAGTGTTAATGTGTCATGATGATTCTGAATTTGGGGATAAAGAGAGATTGTGCTAATGTTTATGTGATTTTTGTAGAAGAGAATAAAGCAATTCTGATCCCTCTTGTCATCACTTCTTTTTTCTCAAGTAATTATCCCACTTTTCATTAGAGATCTCATGTGCATGCTCTCATTTATAACATTTAGAGTATGTTTAGGAATTTGGCGAACATTTCTGAGGTGCAGAGCGAGGGTAAGTGATCTCACACCCACAAGTACTGTTTTCTTTTTGTTACTCTGTTCCAATTTAATGTAAAGAAACCAGTTGAGTTTTTATGCTGTCGATCTGTAAATATGGGTAGAATCCTGTGCTGTGTCAATTCACCATGTGTTGAACTCCCTTATACATCCTTCTCTGTAGAGAGTTGTGTAAACTTGTCACATAAGGTGGACTGGGCTACATCTCAGTTTTTGAGAAGAAACACTTGCTGTAGAATTGATAAGAACCTCAAAATGCACTTCTGCTCTTGAACACATGTGAAACATCTTCATAGTCTTGGCCTCATATTATTACAGAGTATTCTTTACCCCCTAGGTGATTAGAGAACGCATGGGAACCCCGACTTCTACTTCCACCTGAGGTTACAGCTTCCCTTCCCCACTAAGGGGTGACTGAGGAAGCCTAACAGAATTAGGATTTTCCACCACTCATTAGAATTGAGGCTGCTCATTCACCTCCATGTCCCCGTCCTGCAGTGTCAATGGAGGACACATGGGGAGGTGTAACAGGGTGTTCCACCCCCTCTTGGCCAGACTTCACATCAGCACAGCCTAGGGCAGAGCCTGAACTATAGTCTTTACAAGAGGGCCCCTTTCGGAATGTCAGCCAAAGAAGAGAAAACCTGGCTGTGATGAAACTGTGTCTCCCCCTGTACCACTCCATCCCACTCCAGAGGTGGCCAGCAAAAAGGAAGTTCAGAATCGTATAACATCGTATCCAAATGTTCATGTTTCGATTGAAAAATCACTCATAATACAAAGAACTAGGAAAATCTCAACATGAGTGACAAATGATATCAGCCGGCAACATTGAGACGTCACAGACAAGAGAATGATCTGACAGGGATTTAAACCAGCTGTCATAAAAATGCTTCAACAAGCAATTTCAAACATGCTGAAATCAGTGAGGAAGATCTTTGCAAGGAGATAAATCTCAAGAAATAGGACCAGCTTTGAAACCTAGTGGTTAAGACGCTACACAGCTGACTGCAGTTCAAGTTCCAGTTCTGGTGGCTTGAACAGCACACCAGGCATGTCTGCATGCTTACCCAAAGTCCTGACAGGACAAAGAGGTGGAGGGAGAGGGATTGCAGTATGACCCACCCCTTGTGGGGCACTTTTCCCCTATTCCTCTCTCTCTCTCTCTCTCTCTGGCGAGTGCACAAGCTCTCTGGCAATTAAAGGGAAAAGAAAAAGTTTCAGCTTCAAATAGAAGATAGAAGAACCAAACAAATTTTAGAACTGAACCATAATAGCAACAAACAGACCAGCTGGACTCAACAAGAGAAGAGGAAAGATTGACAAAAAGAACCAAGTGAATTTGAAGATCGAACAGTAGAAATTGGCCAATTTGAACAACTAAGAAAAAAAAACTGAAAAGAATTGTTTACTGAACCTCAGGACATTTGAGACTGAAAAATATCCAAAATTCATGTCACTGGAGTCATAGATGGAGAAGAGAAAGGTGGAGGGTGAAAAAGCATTGAAAAATTATTTCAAAAAGTCCCAAATTTAGCAAAAGATATAAACCATTTAAGAAGCTGAGTGAACTCCAAACAGAATAAACTCCCCCTGCATACATA